GTAGGTTCATTTCTTTTTTCATCGCGTTAAGTGGCAGTGGACTAACTTGGCGGATGCCGCAGCGATTCTCGCACCAGGGGGTCATTTACTACAATAGAAACCCGCTAAATCGAACTCCCCGTGAACCCAGAGAAGATCTGATTCCCCTTGTCCTTATTTTTTTTCCAGTCAATACTCAAACCCCCCGAAAACTCGAACTACTCTTTGTATCCCTTGGGAGTTCGAGTCAGCGGAACTCTACTGTGGTCTTTTATGCTTTGAATTGCACCTACCAAAAAAAAAAAAAAGTTGGTGATGTTCACCAAAAAGTGCACAAGACGTGTATTGAATAATTACTTCTTCCAAATCTCTAAATTCGTTGTTTATAGTACAATATAACGTTTTGTTACTATCTATTATTTTTCTGCGAAATAAACTTACTACTTGCGGAAAATAATGAAAATTTGAGAAGCGCCCAACTCAAATAAGCGGCCACTATCAAGGTCCAAACATTCAATTAGCGCCAAGGGCACTCAGTCGAATTAATGCGGTATGTATGTGTAGCGTTTGTTAAAGGACATGCGGAGGGCAATGTTTCGGTTATAAAACCGGTTTCCTCTAAAATTACATCAGTAAAGGCTCTTTAATATCTCAGAAGCAGAACTTTCACGGAAAACGGAAAAAAATTGAACTTCATGCTGCGCGCTTTTAGCAGCTTGTGTATTAAAGCTGAAATAATCAGAGTATAACCCACGACGCGATATAGGCTTTTTATCATATTTTCTACAGATTTTATTCGAGGATTCAAAAATGAGCAATGAAATCTACGCACAATGGTTACATTCCATACATTGATTTATTTTACTCCTCAAATATAATTAAAAGTTTACTTGCTTTTTTTGGATTATCGCATGCTTTGAATGACCTTTACATCGTCGCTGAAAATAATATCAACAGGAATTCAAGAATTTGGCTTACAACAAGAAATGATGATGAAAGGAGAGATAGAAGTTGAACTCGTTTATTCAAAATCAATTTCTGGGGGTCTATGTGACTGACTCAAGTGAGCTAAGATTCGTAAAAAAGCATAAAACATGATATTATAAAGGTACAAAGAGGTTCAGAAGTATATATTTATGTTAAAAACTATCTAAATACTGTAACCTATACTATGGCTAATGATGAAGGAGTTCTTAAAACTGTCAGTGTTATTAATTGGGCCGTTGAAGACTATCATTGCGCGTGGTTGTCAACGGTGATCAAGTAACTCAATCTCGGATGCATTAACTTGGCAATTTATTTCTGTTGTGACAATGTCATTTAATAAGCTCTTACTCAGCTCATGATGCTTATCAACAATGAGGCCAAATATATGAACACTCAAAGTGTATTTTTTCTATTTTTGTTCATTATTTTTCGTCTGGGTCGAGATTATCATCTCTGCGGCGGACTTCCGCTCTAAGTGCCTCAGCGCCACGCCCAACAACCATCCACATCCACATTCACCTTCTTCATCCTCACACCCCTCTAAAACAACCGTCACGAAAAGCACAAATAACTCTTTTTCAGGAAGGGTGCTGTTATGACTGATCAATGCTTGATGCTTATAGCACTTCTCTATATTTGCAAGTTTGACACGAGTTTTTAAAATTAATATTTCACGACTGCGACGCCCACGAACCGACGGCGGTTTTAAAAATTTATTTTCGTTTCTTTTAGGAACTTTGCGAGTAGCTCGATGTGTGGACCTTTTCTGGCGACGCAATATATCTGCTTTAGCACATAAAACATGAAAATGCAACGTGGATTTCGAGTAGAAACATAAATAATTTGCTGTCGGGGATCTCGCCTTTCTCGGACCCTGCAGTTTGATTTCACGTTGTTTACGTTGTCCTATGATGCCCTATTGAAATACATCAAAAAGTTATTTCCTTTGGCTGCAAGGAGATTGTGTTCATTAAGCGCTCAGGATCATTAAACGCCTTATAAAAAGCCTCTTTCATCAATGTTGGTAATTCTTCGCTTTAAACGTTTGGCACAATGCCGAGTATAAGGCTATTTATGAAGATCTGATTTCCGTTTGCTTCGAAAGTCGATTCGTGGATGTATGTGGTTTGATTTGCCCCTTGGAGCACTTAACGACTGTCTCTAATGGTAAAGCTACCGCACCGATAGCGTAGGATGAAATTCAAAGCATTTATCTGCTTGGTTTGCCTATATTATAGGATATCTTTAGGTAAGTGCGATCGATACCTATGCGAATGTATCATTTTCTGCCTGATGATATTGATTCGCTTGGCGGACAAAATTTCTATCTTGCTTGTGTCGATTCGCTTTTCATGTGACAAAAAATATTCCTTTAAACAAAGAAACACTCGTAGACCATTACCAGTTCTTTTTTAGAGATCTTTAGTGCTTAAAAACTTGTAATTTACACCCGTAGTTGTCGTCCATTTTGAGCCATTATTGATTGGACATTGAAGTAAGTGCATAGATTGTTAGATGGCTTTATTCACAGATGCTTTCAGATGGTGATTTGATCTCTTCTCCTCCCCGAATTGGTAGTTTAAAGATCTAAACACCAATTTGTATGCATGGGAAAGTTGAAGAAGCCGCAAAGAGCGAATCGAAATTCTCCGAGTAACAAGATAACAACAACAATATTGCTCTCATGAATTCATTTGCACGTGGTATCTTGATATATTTTTGGTCGTTGTATGTTCAGAATACCTGCTTAGGATGAACGAATGCTGCAAGACGAGAGTAAAAGCTCTGTATGAGACATCGTTGAGTATAATTTTCCTAGCGTGAGGGAATTAAACTCGTAGATTTATGTTTCAAGTGTTGGCAGAATACCTATTCTCCCCACGCGAGATCCGATCGCTCTGAGTTTGGTTTGGTATGCACTGAGCATTTTAGGCAAAGTTTACATTTGTCTTTACCTTAACCCTCGCACTACAATTCGAACTGATTCAAAGGACTGATATACTCTTTAATCAGAGAAGATAAAGAATAAAGTACGCGATGTTACACATTTGATTTAATAACCCGAAGCTAGCTTCTGGCTACGTGCGTCTTGCATGAAAAGTAGTAGTCTTTTATTGTCATGTTTATTTACAGAACATTTAGCAAATCCTCGGAGAACATCGGAGATGAAGTACTACAGAGTAATGACGCCCGTTGAAAGCGATATGTGTAATTTATATTTCTTCAGGTGTAAACTATTGGCCGTTACGATGAAAACAAAATATTTCCAGACGTTTCTTTTCGCTAAACGGAGTTATTAACTTAATTATCTTCGATTGGTCTTTAAGAAATTGCTTGTGATGAATCAGGTATTTTACTCTTTAGTTCTAGTTTCGTGCCAGCAACTCTTCTAATC